CCGCACCAGACTTCGATGACACGGCCACCTGTTACGCATGCTAGCCCACCGACTCCCGCGACGAGCGTTGTTTGCTCACCGGTGATGTGGATGGAAGAAGAGGAGAGATGGCCAAGCGATGACTTGGTCCAGAGGAATGAAGTCCCTCACTTCGAAGCTGGCCTCGGTTGGAGCTTCACGGCTCCCTGGTTGGGGTCCGAAAGACGATGAACACGTTTGGCTGGATACACTTGTTGATATGGCAAGGAGCTTACCTTAGTGGCGTTCGTGCTAGGAGTTTCGTTGTCTGACGCCATCCCTCTTAGCCTCCCCCTCTAACCATGATCTCATTAGTTAGCATTTTATAAGTTTGCATAGTAAATTATTTTTTCTGATATATAATAGCCGACAGATAGCTTACCGCAACAATGCCCATCCATTATCGGTAGCTCAGCTGGATTGCATCTGTTGCATTTTGTTAATTTTGTGCATTTAGGCATTGTGGCACAGTAGCTGAAGTGTTTCCCACCTGTAGCTAACGCGTATAGAAAAAAAACCGCGGTCTACAATCGAATTTCGGTGGACAACCACTTGCGGAATTTAGACCAGTTTTCTAATATAATTGGGGTCAGCAGCCGAGGACCGGTCTGCTTGATGTTTTGATTCGTTCTCCGAGCTGAGTAATTTAATGACAAACGTTTCACCACTTCCCTCAGTGGCATCTTCAGTACACTGCTCCGTAGAGGAAAATCTCACGGAAAGTGTTGTCGGGACGTAGTGTTTGAAATTAGCCTCGTCAATCTGTGTCCCGTAACCTCTGTTTGTTCGATATTTGACCGTCCAGTTTTATGCCTTCTCAGCTGTAGATACACAGGATCGAGGTCAATGCGGAGGTTCAGTGAATTCTTCGTAGAGAACCATGCCTCGAGGAATTCCCTTCCTTTTCTTGTCCCTCTGCGCGCCAGAATTTCTGTTTTGTCCCAGTCAACCTTGTGTCCTTCCTCATCGAGGTGCGTTGAGATCTGTGACGATACATGATGGTATAGACACGTACGTTTGTGCTCTTGCATTCTTATGGATAGATCTTTCCTCGTTTGACCTACATAGTCTTTCTCACAGTTCTTGCATTGTATCCTGCAGACGACATTTTGGCGTTCGTGTGCCTCCATTTTTTCTTTAGGTCTAGATAATATTCTTTTTAAATTCGCAGTTGGTATGTGAGCTATCGTCAGGTTGTGCGGTTTAAGCTGTCTGGCTGGCTTTTCGGAAACGTTTTTGATTTAAGGTAAAGTGATGTGCTTCGTCGTTGTTGGTGCAGGTGCGGTAGTTGTGTTCCTTCGCTTTAGGTGTCTTCGGACGAAACTACGTGGGTAGCGGTTGCGAATTAAAGACATAAACAGATGTTCTTCTTCCTTTCGTTTTGCATCCGCAGTATTGCATTGCGATTCTATCCTACGAAACGGGGTCCGTATACAGCTTATTTTTTGGCACTTAGGGTGATTGCTGTTAAAATTCAAGATTTGGTCGGTGTGTGTTGATTTTCTGTAAACTGATGTTTGAAATCCGCCTTTCAATGTTCTGGTAACAAGCACATCCTGAAAGGATAGTCGGTTTTCCAACTCTTCTTCCATGGTGAAACGAATACTTTCCATTGCATTGTTAAGTAGGTCTTGTGCGGTCTGTAATTGGTTGCGTTTGAGCATCACAAACGTATCGTCAACGTATCGCACCCATAGTATCGGACTAATGACTGGGAGTGTATCCTCTTCCAACCTCTACATGACGACTTCCGCAATAAGTCCATATATCGGGGATCTCACTGGAGCCCCTCTAACTTGCTCGTAGAATACTCCGTTGAATTTGAAGTAAGTAGTAAGACACAAGTCGAGGAGCTTGCATATGCTTTCAGTTGTTAACCTCCCATTCGTTTGTAAAACATTCTTCAGACGTTCTTTGATATTTTCTTTCGCTATCTGTAAGTTGATGGACTTTGAAAAGAATACTATCTAGACCTAAAGAAAGAATGGAGGCACACGAACGCCAAAATGTCGTCTGCAGGATACAATGCAAGAACTGTGAGAAAGACTATGTAGGTCAAACGAGGAAAAATCTATCCATAAGAATGCAAGAGCACAAACGTACGTGTCTATACCATCATGTATCGTCACAGATCTCAGCGCACCTCGATGAGGAAGGACACAAGGTTGACTGGGACAAAACAGAAATTCTGGCGCGCAGAGGGACAAGAAAAGGAAGGGAATTCCTCGAGGCATGGTTCTCTACGAAGAATTCACTGAACCTCCGCATTGACCTCGATCCTGTGTATCTACAGCTGAGAAGGCATAAAACTGGACGGTCAAATATCGAACAAACAGAGGTTACGGGACACAGATTGACGAGGCTAATTTCAAACACTACGTCCCGACAACACTTTCCGTGAGATTTTCCTCTACGGAGCAGTGTACTGAAGATGCCACTGAGGGAAGTGGTGAAACGTTTGTCATTAAATTACTCAGCTCGGAGAACGAATCAAAATATGAACTACCAACTCCGGCTATAGGTATTTCGAATCATTTCAAACTGGAAATCCTGTCAACCGCGTTGCGATCATTTGGTCGAGGGACGGTTCTTAGCGGGAGCAACTCCACTGCTGTTGGTCGTGTGCATCAATTTCCTTCACAGGAAGTGATTAGTATTTTTTTGGCCAGGCGTACGAACTTCTTCATGGTTGCCATTCTCTTTCGTACGTTCCTTCCAGTGAATATCAGAAAGTAAGAGAACCTCATGTGAGGAGTGACAGAGTCGAATCAACTACAGCAGACTAGTCTCTGTCGTCAGTGGAATTCAATCCAGCAAGTGAAGTTGAGGTTCACGTAATGCACAGAATTGAATGAGAGGTGACCAATCTCAACGTTTAAGACTCAACCGAAATGCCAATACCATCACAAATGGAGTTCTGCTGGTTATAGCAGTCAATTAACTTCTAACTTACGATACTACACTGTGCTTTTGGAACATTACTGCATACAACAATAAAGCACCGTGCTTCCTTCGTTTGACTGCAGAGTTGAAGGAAGGTATTACTTGAGACCGTTTTTAAAGGTTTGGTGAGCTGTGGAATCTGCGTCAAACTGATGTCGATCGGTGTTGTTATCAAAGTCAGTGTTGTTCTCTCCGGCGTTGCCATGGAGGAAACCGATATGTATGAGGCCTGGCTTTTTTCCACAGCAGACTGACTCTCGCTCTGAGATGCCATCGTCACCACCGAGTTATTGTGGACTGCAACGCTGAAACAAGTGGAGGCAGGCACGCTGGGTGCCTGTCAGTCTAGAGGAGTGAGATGGGCCAGAAGATTCGTAAATACGGAAGCTGCAATGTGGTTGGAACCCATGGGCCTAGGAATGGAGCTTGAGTTAGCTGGTTGAGGCAAGAGCGTGGCCATATTCACCTCCGAAGGCGCATGCACAAAATGCTCGACTGTCTCAGTTAACCTATCGCCCTTCTTTATGAGTACACACGCACACACGGTTGACATGCTGGACAAACCAAAAAGTGTCGGCTGTTTTGCTGTACAGATTTCCTTCTGGAGGGAATTTCCCTATACACTTAGTGTGGGACAGTCTAATGCAATTTCAAAACGTTATCACTAGCTTACGGAATTTACCGCACTTCTCTGAAAAGCAAACGCCACGCTGCATGATGCACGGGATGCTGTCTGTACTTCTGTGATCTTGTAAGGATTGGGAGGGCCACCGCGAACGGAGACAATGTCAGTCACAAATATTTCCTCTACCCTCGTGGTCACAAGGCTGAAATCTCTAAGAATGTACAGCAGTCGATATCGGCTTTTGCGGGGGGATCTCATAATGGTTTACCAGATTCTGAAGAACCCAAACCACATTTGCCGTCCGCTGCTGGAACTGAACCCCAACACTAAACTAAGAGGTCACCCTCTGAAACTGACAACTCATTACAGCCGGCTTGAATGCCGTAGAAATTTCTTTTCTCTCCGCGTGTGTGAGCCTTGGAATGCCCTCCCTAATTATGTCGTCTCTGCTCCCAATCTGGCGATATTTAAACAACGTGTTGACGATGCGTTGTCTCACTTACATTTCCTGTTATGACTTGTTAGCCAGGGGATACAAAACGCAATCAAACGGTTTCTTGCCAAGCGCTCAACCATTGGATTTATGGATTTTTATGTTTAATACGCGAACATCTCCGCTATTTCACATAAGTCTATGGTGAGTCCACCACAACGCTTTTCACTTTATTATGCAATTTATTTTCGCAATAATTTCCATCCCACGGGACTTGTTAAGCGATGCTTTTTTACCCGTAATAAACCATTGTCCATTGGGTCTGCTAACCGACCGGTTGGAGTGATCGGCCGTCGAACATTGAAAACAAGCTGGATATGAGAGAAGCTGGACGTGATCAGTGAGTAAACAATGGATCACAAATCGTTCTCTCCTTGCATTGGAAAACAGCGTATGTGAACAACGCCGTGTTTATCGGACGGCTCAGAGAGTGCTGCACAGACAGCAGTAACTCAGCCAATTGTGTAACTCCAAAGCCATAAAGTTGTACGCGTGAGTTTGGGCATGAGAGATGTAAAAAACGATAGAATTGCAGGAATAGTGATCGGTAGAAAATACTTTCATGCACGATGCGAATTTGTGTCACCTGAGTGGGCGTAAGTTGAATGTACTGTCGGAAGATGAAGAGAGGGAACTCCACAATAACGAAGGGAGAAAAATCCGTGTGGCCGTAGGGTTGGAGGACCGGCCTCCGAAAGTGCACTTCATTCCGTAATCTACTATATCTGTACCGCAGTTCTCCCTCTGCCGCAGGACTGTGTCAGGTGATAGGAAGTAAAAACCTCTATTCAGATACATGTGAGTATATAGTATAAACCTTATAAATAATCACTTTAAATGAGACACAGAATCAATCTATGTTAAGAGAGCAATGCAAGTTTAGTATATCCACCAAAGCAATGATGTCCTCGAAGTACTTACCATCCAATTTTACCCAAACAATGGAACCGGCAGTGAATTTGGTGAAGACATACTTCTTTGGATCCAACTCGTCGTCGTCGTCCAAATCTGCTTGCGCTTCATCACATGGATTGTGTCCGTTGTGAACTAGATTGGCGTACTTGGGTTGGAGCCCACAATGCCAAGTCTCCGGCACTTCGCTGGGATCGACAATATGCTCCAGTAACCGCCACTTGCCGCACCGCGTACATTCGACCCAAGTGCCTGAGCGGAGGGCGGGAAGGCAGAGTCGGTCACACGAGCAGAGCGCGACTGGATTAGATTTCAATTGCAGTGTGCATTAACAAAGCGCATAGAATGGGAACTCTGGACAAATATTATTGCTGCTATCCAACTAACGAACTCGTACTAGCTGCCGGCCATGCACCAACTGACAAGTAATGAGGAACAAGATGCAAAACAGAATAAAACGGCGTTAAAGAAGGTTAGTAATAGCAAAATCTAATCTAACGTGCCAATAAACGATGTTATGAAAGAACCATATAAACAATCCGATGCAAGATACAGACATATTTACTTCAAGAATGGAGTATTCAGCAAGATATCCTAACCCTGAATGAGTACTGACATGCCTACTAAACCCCACATTTGCAGGAAGCGCTTAACTCTTCCGTGTCACTATGCTGTGTTGGCAGTACACACTTCCACAGGTTGACCAAGTTGCCCATTCAGATAAACCTGTCAAACTCAATTCAATACCATCGAGTTGCAAAATGATGCTTCTCTTTTCAATTGAGACCACAAAATCGGAGACTTTAAGTCTGTTTAAATGATCTTAAACATCCACTGTTTCACGATGTTCGACACCGCACTTTCCGCTCTGGTAAGAACGGATTAATCTTTTTGGGCAGTAGATTCGTGACAACACATTAACCCAGCCTCTAGCCTTGTTCGAGTTATATCATGGTCTCACCTTGGACGCAATCGCTCCCGCTTGCCGTTGGGTCGCATTTATCTGTTCCATTGTATTGATTGCTCCATTTGGCTGTGGATATTCTTGGTGTTTTTCCACGACTTCATCACACTGAGTTCCCAAAAATGGTGCAGTTGTTTTGCCTCGGACCATTTTCTTCAAGTCCTCAGTGGTGGTCCACGAGACTCTTTCCATTAGGGCTCATCAGTAGAGCGCATCCGCCAGATCCTGCTGGATCTGAACCCATGGGTTTACTTATACTTGACTGCGACTTAGGCCGCTGAATCATGGGAGACAGTGGCAGACCGTTACGACTGCTTCCTATTGCGATATGGGCCGATCATACTTCGTTATCGTGCATTGTATGAAAGTGCAGATGACAGAGTCGGCCCTCCGAGCTACGACGACCGTTGTAGGCCACGTCTAATCGAGGTTGTATGTAAGCTGCTACGGCGATTACTGGTTCTCAGAGAGTAGTAGGGAGAGTTATTGTATTTTAGAAGAACCGTTGAGGCTAGATACCCATCACGCATCTGGTAAACTTCAGACGGCCAGCTCATCCCATAGGGACTGGTCGGTGAGGGGCATCCGCTGGCTCTTAACGGCTCCGAAGCCATGGGCTAACTCCTACTTGCCAGCGATCTAGGCCACTGAGTCATGGGTGATGACGGCAGCTCATTGCGATACGGCGTAGTCCACCCTTCAATACTATTCATGTTAGCCACATACAGGAGGAAGGTCGAGGTCAGTGGTTTAAGGCTTAGGGCCACTGCAGAATCGGAGGGATAAGCGTTGCTGCCGGGTCCCTGTGGAACGAAGCGGCTGTCTAGCGCACTTCCCGATGCGTAGTAGCTGTCTAATCGAGCCTGGCTGCGAGGAACTCTCTCAAGTAATACGAAACCATGGACTTTGATATGTTGTACTTTGTTTTATTATTTCTGCACTTTCTTTTGAGTCCCATGATTTTTGAAGGCTCTATGTCTATTCGTAGACTGTTGCATATATATACATATATATATATATATATATATATATATATATATATGGTGCCCCATGCTGAGGCTGATGTTGCATTCTTGATGCTTCTTCACCGCAGTTGGGCTAAACCAACTTACACTTAAACTAGGTCTTTTTAAGCAGGCTAAATTTCATTCCGCTTTATTTGGTTTGTTCTGCCTCCCTGAATAATGTTCTATTAACTGGCCACGTTGCTTACACAAATTGCGCTTATCTGCGGTAATTTTGTTGCGTTTTGTAGCATTTTAAGTAACTTGTGGACGTTTCTTACTTATCACGGATTTGTTGCTAACCAACTTACTTCATATGGTAATTTAGGGAAGAGTTATGCCACCGTATCTGTATGCATTATTGTATTTCTTTTATTTCAGCTTGTCGTTTAAATTGAATGGCTGTTGTTTGATATCCCTGGTATAGTTGCGCTTGATGTGTATGTTGACAAGGTGCCTACCTGTCTATTACCCACTACGTCGTTCATACTGGCTCCAGGAGACAGTTGGTCGTTGCTGGAGGGGACGGGGTGCACGGTTCTTGTGGCCTTGCTAGGCTGGAAGGGTGGTTCCATGCACTCAGTGTGGAGCGGACTACGGTCCAGCCACCGCCTTGTGTGCGGTTGGTTCCCCAAATACAGCGTACTTGTGTTTAGCTGTGAAGGAGTGTGGGCCGGCTCCGTTGATGAAACGTGGTTCCCATCCGCATGCCTCCCGGTCTTATTCCTTCGGGTTTACACTGGATGTGGGGTATGTGGTTGGAGCTGTGGGTGGTGCAGCGCAAGCCATCCATGGTCCCTCTGTAGGCGCAGGCGTCCTGTGGCTTGCCACAGTGACAGGCAAATCCGAAACCGGACGCCGCCAACCATATATATATATATATATATATATATATATATATATATATATATATATATATGCCAATCTCTAAGACAGAATGTAACCGCTCCGCTGCACTTGTTTGCAACAAGCAAAATTGGAGAGTGAACATTGGAGACAGCGCGAAAGACAGCCGCGGGATTTTTAAATGAGTATGATGTTGCCGATATAAGGACCAATGACCTTCGATGTTAACAGCCGACTTTTCCCGCCTAGCGATAGCACAACAAAGTGTCAGCCACACAATGATTAGTTACAATGATCTAGTTGGTGCGTTGGCCTCACCAGCTGCTTCCACAAACTCCTAAGCAACGAAGATGACCAAGAGCAGGAATCTACACATGTTAGAGTTGCATTTTCGATCTGACATTGAAACAGATTGAGGCAACAAAAAGGAATAACAGACGTACACATTTGTGAAATACCACCACAGCAAAAATGGTAGTCCAATGCACAAGCCAGTAAGAAGTGACTCAGTTAGGTGGCAATCAGGTAAAACCAGTGAGTGGTTGGAGATGGGACTGTCATGATTGGTCTTAGAAGTAGTAGATCCAGAATATCATACAGAAGGCCAAAATGATGCATTAAAACAAACAACACGGAATAGGTGTGGTAAGAAATGAGAATACATTCCAAATATGCTAGATAAAAAGTTGATGAATTTAACACTCCTCGAACACCAGGCGAGTTTCAAAGTGACTGTAAATGGAAGTTGAATTACTTGGTTGCACACGTGATCTTTATGGCGAACGGAAGGTGAAAGGCAAACGGTGTTGGGTATCTCAAGTGCATTATCAAGTCAGAAACAAGATGCGTATTATCCTAACGTACCCGGTAAATCTTCTGGGGACTTGTCATTAATACTTTCCTCTGGCTCAGAGGATCCTTTCTCTATTTCATGCAGTTCTTTGGAGGCCGCGGGATCTGACGGTGGTCCCAAGTTGTTGAGCACATCGCAGGAGCTATCATGGACTCCCTCACCGTTTTCTGACGTCTCACTGGCATGAATTTCTGTCAGGCAAACGCTCCTCGCTTTCATAGAAGAAGAACGTTTGAGACGTACAGGTTTCGCATCGCCCTCCGTAGACTGCAGGCGTCCACTATCGATGTCCACATCTGGGCTAGCTTGCCTAAAGTACTGTCGAAACATCTCCTGTGTCGACAGTTCCTGCGTGTTCAACAGTGCACAGCGCACTAGTTGCTCAAAATCGTACTCACTTATCAACTGAAAACAGAGGAAGGTGAAAAAAGAGTTCTGTGATAAGGATCATCCGGATTTTCTGGTTTGCAGATTAGTTTGCAACTCACTGGCGTAACGTTCTCATATCTACTTACAAGTAGTATACTTTTAGTTAACATTTGCAGCCTAACAATCGGACAGACACATTATTGATCGTATTTAGAATCTGAATTAACTGATGTAATGTCTATTTTCCATTTTCTTAGTCGCTTTTAGACAACCCCCTGAATTTATATGGCCCAAATATCAGAACACTTTGTTTCAAGGTGACACATAATACGTAAGTGAACCACCACATACCGTTCGGACCGAATACGTGGAATTAGCTCTGTATTATTTAGTTCATTTATTTATTTTATGCATTCGTTTATTTATTTGTTCGCATATTTATTTGTGCACATATTCATCAATTACACGTTACTATTTTGCTTTATACTCAATAATATAGAACCAAGGCTATACAGTAAAATTTGCTCTGTTCACTACCTCGAAGTATTACAGCCCAGACTGTGCGATTAGATGGGTGTAAGCTCACCGTTAACAGTGTTTGGACATCCACTTGGATAGTGAATCTTGGTTTCAGTCTGGTAACTACCAAAATATGCGAACCATACACGTTAGACAGGCTGGTATCTGTTTGCTAATACACCACGTCTGAATTGCGAAAGTCGCATTGTCTTAATACCTTGGGGTAAAAGTCTGTTGATGAGCGCGGAGCTTGGTCGCTTGCCGGAAAGATGGTGAAATTACTGGTGGAGACTCAGTGCACTCGTTACTGTGAAGACCACATGGGTGTTACATTGCTTGTGTATGCACATAAGTCTCGGGATGGTAAGCGCGGTAATCAACTCCCTCGGATCAGACGCAAGCTAGGCTTCATTAAAACGCCCAGTAAAGGCGACCGAAACGGTCATCGTAGGGTCATGTGAAGCACTCGTTGTCTCCAAATACATCCGACGCACAATACCAATCTGGACCGCTGTTCCCTTTGAAGTGAACCTCGTTCAGTTCCTTGCTGGGTCATGGAGTACCGGCAGTATGCCCGGATTATGACACGCAATCTCTATTGAAGCCACGGTTTGCTTTGAGGCAAAGTAACTACGTTACACAGCGACAAGTTGCTTAGAGGCAAACGCTTCGGCTGACCTCACGACGGCCCGAAATTAGAATCGTAGTCCTATCTCCATGTGAAAACATTGAAATTACGTAAGAAACCAGTTGTGGAATACATCGCTGTGAACGGCCAATACTCAATATTTATCGACCGCAAGACTTTTTCATGTGGGGGAATACTGGAAGGGCTGACTGGCAATTACCACACGTGAATGCTTTGAGAGCCAATACGATTTCAATCGAGTGCGGGTAACAATAGGATCAGACGATATTTGTTTAATTGCGAGTAAAATGGGCAAGTGGATAGTAAAACTATTAATTGTCAAATTCTCAGTCTTGAAAACGGTGTTCGCATATCGTTAAGCAGCCGACACGCAATCCTTAACAAAGAAGTGAAGGTCATGATTCCAAAATTTACTACGAGAATCAGAGAACGTTTCTTTCTAACCCGATACTCAAAGATTTGGAACAAACTTCCAAGTGATATCAGAATATGTTATACACTTTGCAAATTTAAGCTTGCGATTAATAAGCATTTAACCGTTCAAAAAATGACTAAGATATTCGGGACATTACAATCCCTAGATAACGCATTCGAAAACGGTATCCATGGTGCCTGAATAAATTTCCGAACACACACATAACATTTCGGACAACAGCCCGTTTCCTTACATTTTTTCTCGGCCCAAATATCTGTTATGTGATTGTGAACAATCCTGATTCAATGACAGGAAAAAATAGCAGAACGATTCTGATTACTCTGTTACCTACTTTGCAATTTTCCCCTTGTTTATCTCTGAATATGTATTAATGAAATGTTATGGAAAAGTTGTCCCATTATTTGATCTGTCCCTATTAGGGCATAGCTTCTCGCATCGTCGAGGAATATATAATTAATTTATTAATTTATTTGTTATAACGCTGCGCCCGCAATCGACCGGTTGATCCACGCCTGCTGCTAAATCTGCGCCCTTACGCGTGCTCCGTTTGACGCCTTGGCAAACCCGACAGAAAGACAGAAAAAGACTCAGCAGACCAGAGTTCGTATCAGGACAGAGAACGCTCATATTTATGTGTCGGTATCGCCAGGCGGATTTGGCTGTAAGCCCATGCTCCACACATACTTGTCCGCTCCATCTGTCCAGTTCACCGTGTTGTTCAGGCTACACTATAATCTTCGTCCGCCTACCCGGGCCATGGCAACGCTCGTGTTGTTTGACCCGCGATTTAATCAGCTTCCGGTCAGGTCTTGGCAACACGCCTGCTGTCCGATGCGCGATTTCATCACCTTTCGGCTGGGCCCTGGCAACACGCTCGCAGGGTCTTTCCCAAGCCCGACTGGTGGCAAACGCGCGAGTGTTGGCAATCAGCTTTCTCACTCAGCTGTCACCTCCCTTTCCGAATTGAGTCAGCTTGCACATCCTTCGAACCTGATTGTGTTCGTAGTTTTTCGCCCGGGGATCGATTTGCAGCCGTTTCGCCTCTGTGACATTATTGTAAGGTTACGTCGCCCGATATGAGGAGAACACAGAATGAAACAAACAGTGCCAAGATAGCTCAGTGCCAGTGCGGTATTCGATCGGTAGAGGAAGCATCACTTCAAACCGAGGACTTAACCGTGTCTTCGGAACGGTAAGACTATTATTCGTTGTCGCGGTGGCATCCACAAGACACGAGTTCAGAAAACAAGCCCAGTTGACGGTCCACTACAGTGGTCAGCCTCTCAAGGCTTCAGTAACAAAAGTAAGGGGGGGAATGCAGTTTCTGGATTTACCTTCCAAGAAAAAGCACTCGCTTGTTACTGAGTGAACAAAAGCCACTCAGTCACCAGTGGTCAAACAGCTTGAAGATATTGGTGAGAGAATGTGACACCAGATGAAGCGATTGCTAGGGATCACCTTCTCAAAACGGTTTCAAAGCGCACGAATATAACTCTAACTGGTGTTACTCCAAGGTTGTAGATGTCAAGGAGAAAAGAAGAAGTCAAAGTATTCAAGAGGAAAACACATTGGTAATGTCCATCAGCATGGGAGTGAACACGTGAAGTAAACGCGCCAAAGCTACACTCACCGGTCAGCCGGCTGTCGTAAAGTGCAGATGATCTGAAACCGGGAACCTTTAAGGTACAAAGTAGGTCCATCTCCATTCTCTTCTCACTATTCACCGGTAAGGTAGCATGGTTTAATCGCAAGGCCGAATCAGGCGCAAATAATCAGTCCTTCGGTTGGTGGCTGACTGTCAGGGTCCAAGGCATTACAACAGAATGAAGATGGAAGGGTCATTGCGCTTTCACTGTACCCTTACTGAGTTAATTACAACCATAGCGTTTTGAAATTCCATTCTGATTAAATTGTGTTCCTCCGCACACCTCTCAAAGTATTTCTTAGCGCTATCAAATTGAATCCAACGAGCGCGAACTCCCCTAAGTGCGCATTGTTCGTTGAGTCACCAATCCCTAGTCAGCCAATGGGATATCAGACGAGTACACAGAATGGGAAGGTATTGGCTGATTTTGATTGGTCACTCAACGAACAGTATATATATATATATATATATATATATATATATATATTCACAAGTCTGTGAACAGAGCAACGTGCCATCCGAACCATGGTAGTAAGGAAAGGAGGATATACTATTTAACAAGGAGACAGAGAGAGTAAAATGTTGGAACAGCTTCTGGCAGCTGGAATACTATGCTCCACTGGAGTGAAGCAAAGGCAGTGACATTATTTGGTGGCGAGTCACATCCACCACGTTGTAGTGTTGTTAAACGGACATATGTGGCTTTTATAGGGAGAAAGCTTGTCAGGTGAATACCCACCAGGTGTGGAACACGGCCGCCTAACGATTCGCTGGAAAGGGAAAATCCCGAACCGCCCAACTGGCACCACGAGGAGGTTGTTCGGCAAGTCAACTAAGTACCATCTTGAGGTATCGACGGAAGAACACGATTTCCTAAGGGAGAAATTTGGAAGCACTATGGATAAAGTGACTGAGAAAACGTACAGTTCATCTCCTTTAAGGTAAACAAGCAACGTTCTTCCTCGGTTAGGACATCCCTAAAGCAAGCAGAACTGACAAGCAGCTTCAGTACGAGCTGAAAGGAATCTATTGCAAGTTAACAGCCTTCTAGTGGGATATGAGACATAGTAAGTTGACAGTTTCCAGTTTATTGGCCAGTGATATCACCCAATTACCCCAAAAGTTGTCAATCACCTACTCGGCTACTCGACTTTGAAATGCGTGAAAGATGTTCAAAAGCACTCGTCTGAGTCTTCATGGGTAGCATAATTGTACGCGTAACCCAAATAAGAAACCGTGACTGGTATACACACATTCTCTGAAATGTCAGTGAGGCTGTTATTATTACCTTTTGAAGTCAAAATTGCACAACAGCCAACGGAGACAATTCGCAGTAAACTCGGCAAAGTGAAAGCTAAATTTGGCAAAGAGGAAACAGCTGCTGTGGTTCATAAGATTTGCTGCCGGAACTGCGACAAACGCTACGTGGGACAGACTGGAAGCAGTTAGATAGAAGGAGACAAACACAACCTAGCCATTCGTCACCACGATCAGAACTCCATGCTGTCCGTGCACATGGATTCCGAGAACAAACAAATTGTCCTGGAGCACACCATCATTGTCGGAAGGGCCAAAAGCCGGTAAGTACGTAAGTTCAATGAAGCGCGGCATTCAAAACAGAACTCGATCAATAAGCACTTAGATTCCGAAGTCGTTTACGAGGCACTGCGAACCAGGCTCTTGAAGCCGCACTGATGATGTTGCCTTGTCTGGCAACAAAAGGAATGCAAAAGTATCACTCAACTCGGAGAACAGCTCAAAATCCGCACACACATATTCTATCGTTCTGAGGTAAGCTCTGCCGGTCATCAATATAACCGCAGTAGCGGAACAAATGGTTAAAGCCGAAAGAACTCTGGAATTTGTAGACAAAAGGAAACAGCTTTTACTGCCATAGAGAATAACGATTAGCCCCGTCGCTATACCATGAACTAAAGGTAACAACCACACAAGGGATCTGACACAGCCTAAACAGCCTAAACAAACAAAATTAATGATAACTTCTCTGTCTCTTTTAGGATAGCGCCAGCTATGATTGACTCAATCTTAAAAGTCACCTAACTATTACTGTCGTGTATTAAAACACTTCACTCATATACTCCTTCTTGCGCTTACGTTAGGTGTACAGATGACATGTATTCATATTACCACTATTATTATTATATTATATATATTATTATCTATTATTATTTTATAGTATAGTATATATTATATTATTATCAAATGCTACGCCATAGAATTCGCCTCCACCAGGGAATGACCTGAGTGCTTTTGCTTGTGTGTGGCGTTGAAGTGAGGCATGACACTTGAAATAGACATTGCATTATGGTCATTTTTGTCTTTTTGTTGGGTATGCTAATAGCTGGTCATTTGAGCGGACTGACTCATCGGTTCTAGGCAGGCATGAGGCTAATCAGTTGCTGCCGACGCAAACTGAGCACGCATTGACAAGCCAGCCAGAGGAATCAGGATGAGCTCAGCCTCAAAGGAATAAACCGCAGCTTTGTCATGAACAACGGCGCAGCAGATTGGCTAAAACGGCCGCGGGTGGACGAGGTGTACGCGTTGGTCAGAAAGACAGAAACGGATAGCTGACGCGCATAAGCATGACTCGAGGCGGATTACGCAGACGGAGCAGAAATCGATCGAAGCGAGTCGAATGTACACACTAATGAACGCAGACAAATCGTGGACGACACAAAAATGGAAAGTAAGCAATGTGAAGATGTCGCGACCAAATTGTGCCCCCACTACTGTATAGTGTAAACGATGTTTTGCTTTACATACAGCAGATTTTGCTAGTTGCCCAGACTTGGTTTTTACTCTTGGAGCCCGACACGACAATCACATTCCACATAGAAAGTGACTCTTGAGGATAGCGACGTACATCAGCTTGGAGTATATGTGAGCGGAAACCCAGGGAGAACTTTGAAGATGCTTGATCACACCGCATAATTTTCCGTGTTTCGTCCCATAAAGCGATGAGTTGGCTTGTTGCCAAAAGTTCCTTTGCGCATAGCCCATGCGACTCAGTGTGAAATCCTTTCAAGTAACACATATACGAACTACACTTCACTGTGGGTATTTGGGTGATTAGGTGGAGAAAGCGATAGATTGCTCCTAGTTTGTGTGTTCTAAGGGCCACTATTTTATGGGCACGATGCCAGTACCGCAGGATGAAGGTGTACGAGGTACCATGGTCATGGTTGAATGCAATAAATGAACAAAAGGGTTCAACGTTGAAATGTCGGTGGATTGGAAATGCGCGCGGTGTGAAGGCATGTGTAGTCTCGTCATTGGAGCACTTTTATTAACATGGTTGGCAGCATCCGGTTTCAGATTTGCCTGTCACTCTGGTCAGCTACGGGACGCCTGCGCATACAGAGAGACCATGGGTGGCTTGCGCTGCACAACCCACAGCTCCATCCACACACACCATATCCAGTGTAAACCCGAAGGAATAAGACCGGGAGGCATGTGGATCGGAGCCACGTTTCATCAACGGAGCCGGTCCACACTCCTTCACAGGCAAACACAAGCACGCTGTATTTGGGGAATCAAGCGCACACAAGGCGGTGGCTGGACCGTAGTCCGCTTCACACTGAGTGCATGGAAACATTCTTTGTTCCTAACATGTACACAAGGACCGTGCACCCCGTCCCTTCCAGCAATGACCAACTGTCTTCTGGAGCCAGTATGGACGAGTTAGTGGGTAATAGACAGGTAGGCACCTTGTCAACCTGCACATCAAGCGCAGCCACACCTGGGATGTCAAACAACAGCCAGTCACCTGAACTTACATTATCAAATAAAATATTTTTGTTAAAGAATACAGCTATGCAGACATAACTACTCTAAATTAGCATATGAGGTAAGTTGGTCAGCAACGAATCCGTAATAAGTACAAAATGTCCACAAGTTACACAAAAATGCTACAAACGCAATAAAGTTAACGAAGATAACCACCATTAGTGTAAACAACGTGGCCAATTAATAGAAGATTATTCAAGTAGGCAGAACAAACCAAATAAAGTGGAATGAAATTTATCCAGCTTAAAAAATCTAGTTTAAGTGTAAGTTGGTTTAGCCCAGCTGCAGTGAAGAAGCATCATACATGCAACCTAAGTCACAGCATAGGCAATACAATACAATACAGGCAATAGAAAACGAGTTAAGTCTAATTCACGAGGCAGGATAACATGTGAATCTAAGGGTGCAAATCATCCAAGTGGACGACGAAAACATAGAGGATGAAGATGGAGAGAAAGAAGTGTGAAGTTCTGAGACTAGTCAAATATGAATTAATGTAAGCCGCTAAATTAACCAAGTAACTAACCTTTTGATCCAACGATTTGTTCCCAGAGGGATACGATGGTTTTCGAAGGATTGGCTCCTGGAAAGTACATTCCTTGGAAGCGCATCTTGGAGCCGTAGGACAGGTGTCCGAGATAAACTCAGAGTTGGATTCATCGTTTGATTCGACCAGACTGATGTCCGTAGTGTGACGCGGGGCTATGTAAGCTTCGTAGATCTCTTCAATTGGCTTTGTTTGCAGCAGTTGTAAAACCACGGTGATAAACTGCTCTGTGGAATCGTCTTGTGTAGTTGTATCCTGTAACGCATTAATAAGTAGAGGGCCGAGGTGGTGAGGTGATGGTAGATGGGCTACAGTGTAACACAATAAGATAAATATTGGGTACATTTTCACCAGATATAAGGCACATTTTCTAACAAATGCGAATGTCCTATTCAACAGGATCTCGACAGCCTCTCAACATGGTCTGCAGAGGTTAACCTTCCGATCAACCCTGCTAAGTCGCAATTCATGAGGTTGGGTAAATGCGAACACAGCCGAACGTACACAGTGGCTGATCAACCGCTGCATCCCGCGTCTTTCGTGCGAGACCTCGGTGTACTCTCACGCTGCGACCTAAAGTCCATTGACAACACGAATAGACTGTACCAAAACAGCCTTCGGATGCTTTGGCCCAGCTTCAGCACTTGGTCCGAAGAGATTGCCACTCGCCTCTTCGTCTCGATAATACGACCAATGCTAGAGTACGGCTCTCCCGCATATTGTCCCATCACGCTGGGCGAGGTAGAAAAGCTTGAGCGGGTGCAGTATGTAGCCACTAGGCTGATTCCCAACTTACGAGATATGCCATATGAAGACCGATGTAAGAAACTAGGGCTGTACACCCTAGCATATCGTCGGCTGAGGGTTGACCTCATCATGACGCACCGGATATTACATCTGAGTGATTGCCCCATGTTGAGACAACCGCTTCATCTGCGCACACCAAGCGGCACGCGAGGACACCGGTACAAACTTATCGTACCGCAGTTGAAGCGGGTAGCTCACCAACTCTGTTTCGAACGTAGAGTGGTGAATACCTGGAACAACCTGCCGCAGCCGGTAATAGAGGCAAATTCAGTGGCCGAATTTAAGAAGCTCCCTGACAAACACTTTGCAGAGGCAAAATATGGAGAGCGGAACGATAATTAATACGTTAATTTCCAAGAGCGACAATTGATGCAGCTACACAGGGTATGCTCTACTCGCTGCTTCTAAGCAGTATCAGTATCAGTATCCCGGAGCGAAGTCCGGTCATCAGTGGAACTACCCCAGCTTTGTGTACACGTTAGCACAAGTTCGGTGATAAGATGCAGCGCACCAGGAAGATGCATATCATCAGTGTTGTGACAACGAGCTCAACTCAAATACGGATGAAACATGGGAACGCGTATGGCAAGCATCGATTGCATGCGGCTGAATATCCATATTCACGGTTCGGTGAGACTGAAACAGGATTACGGAAAGGTACCATTCCCAGCGCCATTGGTAGCGCGCTAGGGATCTACACTGGTGCGAACACGACACATGGCTATCCAGTGAGGAACAGAGAAATAGGAATGTTCAGGATGATGCCCCGGCGGGAAATCGATCGGCATCAATGGGTCCGTACAATCGAAGAGACGTACATGTGCAGGGAATCGTTCTGCATAAGGAAACAGGTACGAAAAAATCCGTAGTTTGCTGGAGAGCAACGGGATACCCTCTCATAGTTTACCGGATTTACCCACGGGTAAACACAGTGTCCTCATGTGCATACACAAATTATAAGGCTGGGAATACCAAAAAATATCTAATGAGAATAAGGTCGAAGTTGGTATCAAGAGTAGGAAGCACGGCTACCCAGAGCTAATCTCAGCAGACTAGAAGGTGCGTGTTCGGTAGGCAAATTGCTTCTTTCGACACATCATTGCATCAGCGAGTAAACAGTTGGCACGGATTGGGGGAAACATTGTCATTAAAAGGGCGCTGATGCCGATCTGGTCTATAATATACCCAAAAGCCTCCGCCAATATAATGGTCTGTGAACAAGTTTGCTCGGATGCTTGAATACGTGGTATCGGATGATGATGTGGCATGCGCTGTTCTAGTGAACCGACAACAGGACGGTTTGGGCTAACAACCTTGAGTAATCGAATGTGTGCCATAGCTTTGGGTTAGCAAAAAATTGCGTGCAGGTGCAGTCAGGTAAGATCCGAAGGGATGCTCCGGTGTTTTCACATACGGATGTTGTGGACGCGTTCAACCGATATTCAGCAGTGGACCAGAAAACCAACAGCTCAAATTGTCAGCATGCATGAGGATTGGGAGATTACAAAAGGTACTTAAATGTTGTCAGGTCTAAACTAAAGTCCATTTGATTTTATCACATTACTTGATTCGCTGTTACCGTTTACGAGCCGGTGTACAGCACAACTGCGTCAGAGAAGCACCAAGAAAGGACTACAGAGTGAAGCTGTCCCCACCAACGCTGCTGACTTTGTAATGACCGTGTAGATTCCAGTTTTCCTTCGGGAAGACTGTAGTAGACATGTTTTTACCCTGTGTGAATTGTGCACCAATATTTTTCTTTTAGTGAATTTTTCAGTCTGTGCATATTTGGTTCATATTCTTTGACTAACTTCCGAGATCGCAATGATTGGCCTAACTGCCGTAATTGTCCATCATTTTGAATTTGTTCTGCAATAATCCGCCATCATGAGCAGCACACCGGTAAGCCGAAATGAAATATTTTGTGCTAAGCAACGTTGTACTAAGGCAGTGAAAGTAGGCTTGACTTGTACAAATTCCATTGAATGAGATCATTTGAAGTGCGTCAAGGTATATAGAACCAACATAAAGAAATACAGTACGCCCGGTTTACTTTGGTTCTGTCCGACGTGCATGATTGTTTCACTAGTAAAATGCATACTAGCGTTAGCACAAAAGTACGACAGCCTAGTCGTCGAAACTGAACATCGCTTGAATGCAAAAATTGCTTCCCCCGAGGAGACAATAGCACATCTTGCACCTCATCTGTCTCCCCCAATTGCTACCTCAAAAACAAGGAAACTGGCCAGGAGTTCACACGGCCACGCAGTATCTTGGGAAGCACGAACCAACTCATCGTTGTGACCGATAGAAGAATGCCTAGCCTCACCGAGTACATCCTGTTATCCAATGTATCTATCAATGTAAAATCGGTAACACCCATCCTTCCGATTGACCAACGGAATCCGAAGTGCGCTAAAGCCTGAGCCAACTATGCAACCGTTGCTACTCGGCAAAACCAAAGTGCGACCTCAGTAGCCTCATCGGTACAGCCGCAAACGGGTCAACGACCAGGTTCAAGCTGCAGGCACGTCCCCAAAGCTCTCGAAAACCGTGTTTCCCACATCACCGAAGACCAGGAGGAACTACGGGACCTTGACACTTATTTGCACCAACGTTCCTGAGTCCAAAGAAAACTAATTAAGTGGTAAACAGCTGGATTATTTGAAGCAATGGAACTTCGTCTGTGAAAAAGTGGAGTACAAGCCAGTCCAACTAACATAATGCGCATCACTAGACATCCAAACCCGAATCATTATGGCGAGTCCCGGCTAACGCGAGCAGCACTGGCAACAACAGATGACGTCCAGACGGTAATTTTGTCGGCATACCGCCTGCGGACTGAAAACAGTGGAATACGCATATTTCCGGATGTTCCATAGTATCACAACTGGACTCTAACCGCAAGTACGTATTTCAACTCGTAGCGAATAAGCAAGAAGACGCTTCAGTCTGGCGCACAGTGTACTGAACACTTAACGGTTTACATGTGAGCACGGAACGTTAGGGTGTGTCCTTGAGTGCGTGTGTGCGTGCTTATCTACGTGTGTGTGTAGGGCCAATCAGGTTCACGGTCATAGTGAGCGATCATTGGTTGAACACGTAACAGTCCTCTCTGTTTTGGCTGACGTTACAGTCATGGCTGAAAACGTTCGATCGGTTTGCGAATCCGGGTCGATCGACGTAATTGAGTTTCCCCTGTTGTTCTGTGTTCGTCGTGCTTTGCAGCTTGCTCTGCGATCTCCGAGTGTGACTGACTCACGGCAGGTGTGTCAGTGCTCCTGGGGCGTACATGATCTGAGTGCCGACGAACAACCCGGCCGTCCGGAAGCTGCAAATCGTTTTGACTTCCTGAAGAATCGAGCACAGTCGCCGGCTGCCAACATTGTTCATGCGGTAACCTGGTGTAAACAGGTTGATGGTCCTGAAATGTAACTTCCGGCTTTGATTCCTCTGAAGACACAAACATTTTCTGACGCTCCTGTACTTCAACACGCGGGTTCGGGAACAACAAATGAAGCCTCGTTCTCAGATTTCTGCCGGACATCAATTCCGCCGGGGATTTCCAGGTAGCCTCAGTGGGTGTAGAACGGTAGGAGAATAGGAACCGATCCAGTTTTGTTCGCAATGTTCCCGTTCGCTGCTTTAGTAAGCCTTGTTTCACAGTTTGTACTGCACGCTCCGCTAATCCGTTTGATGCTGGGTGATACGGGGCTGATTTAACGTGTTGGATTCCGTTGTTGGCGACAAATTTACCAAATTCGGCACTGGTAAAAGGCGAACCATCGTCTGTACAAATGGTTTCCGGAATGCCAAACGTAGCGAAGGACGAGCGCATTTTAGTGATGGTGGACTCGGCTGTCGCCTGAGTAACTGGATGTACGTCAATGCACTTAGAATGTGCATCAATAAGTAGAAGAAACATGGTCCCGTCGATCGGTCCGAAGTAGTCGGCGTGGATACGCTGCCAGGGCTTGTCGGGCCAACGCCAAGGGTGTATTGGACCTGGCGCCTTGCTCCGCTGATACGCCTGACAAATATCGCAATTCTTCAGTAAGTTCGCTATGTCTGAGTCGATGTTGGGCCACCAGCAGTACCCTCTCGCTAGTGCCTTCATCCTCGCCACACCTGGATGAGCATCATGGAGCTCTTTAAGTATCTGTGAACGCGCCTTGGTGGGAGGGACTAGACGAGAGCCCCAAAAAACACAGCCGTCGAATAGACTCAGTTCGTTCTTCCGAATCATAAACGGTTGTAATTCAACTGTCCCTTCAGGAGGCCAACCCATGTTCAAAAAGCGTTTCACCATTGATAGCACGGGGTCTCGATCCGTCCATTGACGGATTGTTGAACTCCGTATTGGTGTTGTGTCTAGATGTTGCATTAGATTAACCAGTTCAAACGGAGGGTCGTGTTCATGTGCAGTTTCCGTGATCGGCAGATGGCTG